TATATATACTATTAAAATATATTCAATGAAAAAATTGATGATACTTATTTGGTAACATAAATTTTGATAGTTTTATGTAAATATGATGAAATTTAATTTGTTTCACTTAATAATATGTTAGAAATGTGGGGTCCATGACGGGTCGAGGGAGTCGGCCGATGTACGTAATGTTGCGTGGGCCGCTCTGCGTCCAGTCGTCCACCGACCACACGTGACGTGCGTGGCGACGGCCGAGGAGGCGAGGACCATGGTCGCCCGGCCCGACAGTCAGGCCTCTGACTTTTGTACGGTTTATACTAAGTGCCTGTTTTGTTTAGTTCCTAAAATTTTATAAAATTTTTCAAAATTCTTCGTCGCATCGAATATTTGACGTATGTACGAAGTATTAAATATAAATAAAAAATAAAACTAATTACACAGTTTAGACGAAATTCACGAGACGAATCTTTTAAGCCTAATTAAATTATAATTGGACATTAATTGTCAAATAATAACGAAAATACTACAGTACTATTTCCCAAAAACTTTCGCCAACTAAACAAGACCTAAGCGGAAACATGCACGTGTACAGCTAGCGTCAGCAGCTTAGGTTTGCCTTGCCTTCTCGTCGGCTGTACCCGAATAGATAGAAATCTACTCTCTCCGTCAAAAAAAAAACACAATTATAGGACCAAGTACACTATACCAAGCCTGCTAGCGAAATTATCAAAATGCCCTTGTATATAGTTGATTGACCTGTGTAGAATATTCTGGAAAGCAAGAACTTGTGGAGGAGATAGCACCATGCTGGTAGGATTACATTTTTTTTACAAAATTTGAGTTGTGGGATTACGTTTTTTTTTTTTTTTACAGAGGGAGTACAATGGTATGACTCGTCGTCGATGTCTGTCTGCATCTGCGTATGGGATACATTACATCTATCAATATCTATATCTATACTTATATTAATATATAAAAAATTATAAATAAATTATTTATACCTATATCTTTATTTAACATTAAAAATTCTTCCACCTCTTTCTTCGCCGTCTATCTCTAAACTATTATGGTTATTATATAATAGTTCATATCTATATCTATATCTATATCTATAACTATATCTACTAATACAATATAATAATGTTAAAGATTGACTTCCATATCTCACTTTTTTCCCTATTGTCTGACTATCACTCCTGTTTGGCTCTCGGTCACCTTTCCTACTATGAGTTTGGAGCTACAAAATCTTCTTTGGCATTGCACTTACTCATGTTGTGGCCTTCTGCACGAGTCCATTTTCGTGTGGCTCACCTTCCACCCCTATTAAAAATTGAGTCAATCTCCTGCTAATTTTCTATATAGAATTAATCATTTATTACACTAAAATTTATTAGGGGCATTGGGATTTATTTGATTTAAGGTTGGCTAAGCCCAATCGAACCCAACAAAAATAACAAGTTCATTATCATTAGCATGAGCACTGCACAATACATTATACATCCCGTTGCATTCTATGCATGTTTGCTAGTCTATGTACGTAATATTAAAGAGTGAAAAAAAATTCTTCCATTCTTTTACTTCCAAAATGCCCTCATGCCTTGAGTGTCCCGTATGATTCGAACTCACAACCTATACTTTGTACGAGTTAGAACAACTGACATTTGCCTTGCCTTCTCCTTGGCTGTACCAGACTAGATAGAAATCTACAATGGTCTGCCTCGTCATCGTCTTATCTGCATGGGATACACCGCATCTATCTATATATATATATATATATATATATATCTACATTTAAATAATATATAAAAATTATAAATAAACCATTTATACCTATATATCTTTATTTAATATTAAAAAATTCTTTCACCTCGCTCTTACTCTTTCTTCACCATCTATCTCTAAATTATTATAGATATTATATAATAGTCCATATCTATATCTATATCTATATCTACTAATACAATATAATAACATTAAAGATCAATTTTTTCTACCATATCTCACTTTTCCCCTGTTGTCCACTTGTCCGACTATCACTCCTCTTTGTCTCTCGGTCACCTTTCCTACTTTGAGTTTGGAGCTACAAAATCTTCTTTGGCATTGCACCCACTCATGTAATGCCATGGCTGCACGAGTCCATTTACGTGTGGCTCGCCTACCACCCCTATATAAATTGAGTCAATCTTCTGTCAATTTTTCATATAGGATTAATCATTTATTGCACTAACATTTATATTAGGGACATTGTGAATTATTTGATTTAAGGTTGGCCAAGCCCAATCAAACCCAACAAAAATAACAAGTTTATTATCATTGGCATGAGCAGCACACAATAAATTTTGTCCCGTTGCATCATATATATGTGCATGTTTGCTGGTCTATATTATCCAATATTAAAGAGCAAAAATTCTTCTTCCATCTATTTTTATTTCCCAAAATGTCCTCGTGCCCTCCATGTCCCGTACTCACAACCTCTACTTCATATGAGTTAGAATAAGTCGTGTCCAGCGATGATCCGAAGTCCGATTCTATAAGATGTATTGGGTTCCATTGCAATGTATAGGTACATTTGCTAGTAATATTAAAAAGAAAAATTCTATCCCCAAATTTTTGTCCTTCACTGTATTCCTGAGCCCATTTGTCGTTCCGCTCCATTGGGTAGACGAGTCTTGGCCGATTTTACTAGGATTAGTAGTACAAATTAAGGATAAGAGTCTTAATTGGTTATTGTCTGGTTTGTAATCCAAACTCATGACTTGTTAAAGGCAAGCTATCATAATTTGAATGCTAAATTATAGAAATTATTATTAACATATATGACTGCAAATAGATATATTGTAAAATATATATTTCATGATAAAGATAATGATACTTATTATATGATAAATATTATTATTATTTTATATATATCTGCTCAGATTTTATATTATTTGACGTTTATTTTAGATTATATTTTTTTAAGATGGAGTATCAACGTGAGGGCGCTACTAGTACCGTCAGTGCGTCACTCAACTTGCCAGTTGAGTAGCCTACTTATTAATCTAGCAATATCCGTTTTTTTTTTTTTTGCGACAAGCAATATCCGAATTGTGATGGTGCTGTTGAGATGCTTGCCTGCCATCGTTATTCTATTTACTATTACCTTTATTTATTCAATAAACTACTTTACACAGCTAATTGCGATACAAAAAGACTGAGATAAATTACACAAGCACATGCAGTGCGAAAGGCTAGGGGACTAGGGGAGGCAAGTCAACCGCGCGAGAATAACTGATCAAAAAAAAAATTCGGTAGTAGTAGGAGCAAAAAATTTCCGTTGCCAGGACTCGAACCGGGTCTCTTGGGTGAGAGCCAAGTATCCTGCTACAACGGATTCCTCGTACCATGTCCGGAACAGTGCCATTTTGTCACATTTTGTATGCCGATATGCATAGCACCATAGTCTATAGAGAGATACAGGATGGAGATGTTAGTAGGCCACTATAAAAGTGTTGCAAAACTAGAGGCTGGAGCATAATGCAGTGGGCTTTGTTTGAAACATGGTAGATATAATTAAGTTGTCTTCTAGCCACCTTTTGATCTACACCAGAATTGATATATATTATTATTGTAGTACTTATTAGTTGTTGTATACACACTATACTTTATAACTTCATATATATGTAAATTTTCCAATCCAAACTATACTATAAGAGATGTCGAGGCTTTCTAATGTTATAGCATAATAACCATCGCCAAACCTCAAAAATATAGTGTCAAATATAAGGAATTTCTAATGTCGTTACGTATAACTGTCATAGAACCTCAAACTTTATAGTGTTAGCGATCATAGGCGATAGGAAAATTTGTTTTTCATGACAGGGATTACGCAACCGTGTCGAATGTTAAAGTCCTTTGGATAAAGTTAACTTTTTGGTACTGATGTGATATATATATGGAAACAGTAAAAAGTTGAGTTTATTTATAGTTTTTAACCTAGAAGGAAAGCACAAAACCCTTATTTCATTTTTCCTCATGTTTCTTAACAAGAAACTGTTGAAAATTTTCGGTGGACGAATTATCATTATATATAGCCTTTGAATCAAGCATTTTTTTTACATGCATTAGTTCTTAGGCACACATGGTGAACACAAATAACTAGTAATTAAAAAAACTCAATCCGCAGGGGAGTATGATGGCCCCAGGGTTTTCATTAAGAAGATCTTCTCATGCTGATCGAGAACCCCACCCATATACAGCAGCACCGCATCCTCGTGAGACGGGACGATCATACACCTATACTTTGGCGTGGGACAACCGGATATATGAGGGGATTTTTTTACCCTCAAGCCTGAAATTCGCTCTCATGGGGGAGTCGAACTCAGGATCCGAGGGATGCCGCCAAAGCCATCTAACAAGTTAGGCTAAAGACCCTTTAGCATAACTACTAATTAATTAATATTCAAGCCCACCCTTTGAGATCTGTAAAATTGTGTGCTCTTTTGCGATAAAGGAATATTTAATTAAACTTTTAGACGTATTACTTTGAGTTGATACAAAAACCTTGAAAAATAATACTTGGAGCCTTTTCTAGCAAGAATCACACAGCTACATAATTGTGTGCTGTAGTTCTTCAAGTTGTAATTCTAGGGATCATGACTCTTGAACAATTCCAATCTCGGATCTCAAATACCAAAGTTTGTGCTATATATAGGTTCGTTTTCGTGTCTTTTCTTTTCCGCTCTGTTTCCACAAAATTTGCATCTAAACACCAAATACTTGGCTGCAATCAGCAACCTGTGTATCCATAGCGCACTTCACCATTGAAAATATATACAGTACATAAACCAGCTCTGATTTCAAGAACTTGTTGCATACTGCACACATAATACATTTTGCACACACTGACAGAGACTACAAAGTTGTAATGATTTATTGCACGCATATATAACGAGACGATCTAGGCTTATTGATACGGCTAGCTTAAACACACACACACACACACACAGTGGCACATGTAGCTAGCAAGCAGGATCGATTGATCAGTTCTGGCCGATAAAGAGGTCCACGTCGTCGATGTCTAAAACCCCGACGAAATCATCTGGGTTGCAGGAGAGCAGGCAATCAGCACTTGCCATGAATTCTCCATCCACGCGGTTCCCGGCGTTGCCAGCAGCATGGACGACATCAGTTGTTGTGGAGGTCATTGCTTCAGCGCTGGCGGCGGCAGCACCATCAGTAGCCAGCGCCGGCGCCGGCGCTGGCACCATCAGAGGTGGCGTCAGTGGTGCCGGTGGTGCGGCAGCTGGTGTAGGGCACAGCTGAGCCGGCGCAGAAAAGAAGAGGCCGGCGCAGCTTCGACCGTAGTCGGCCGCGATCTCCTTGATGTTGGCGACGGTGAGCTGGACGCGGATGTGCTCGGGGATGGCGGGGCGTGGCGCGCCCGGGAAGTTGAACTTGCGCTGGCTGGGGAGGCGCTCGCCGTAGAAGCAGAACAAGGCGGCGTCGTAGGCCAGCGCCGCCTGCAGGGCGTCCTGGAACCTGCCGACCCACAGCCTGGATCGGGTGCGCGGGATGCGGATCTCCGCCGCCCACCCGCCCCAGAGCCGCTCCCGGACGCCCGTCCAGCTCAGGTCCTTGTGCGGCCGACGACGAGCGCCGCCGCCTGCGCCACCTGCCGTAGCCAAACGCCCGCCGCGGCGCTGCTGGGACTGGGAACGTCCCCTCCTCGCTGACCCGTTGCTGCTGCTCGGCGCCGTCGCCGTCATTGCTCGTCGCCTGCAAGCTGCAAGAAACACCAGCGAGAAGAGGTAGAAGAATGTAGCGGTGGTGCTGTGGACTAATGTGGATGGAGACGAAGGGGAGGGTGTGTGTGTGGTTATAAAGGCGCGAGAGTGGACACGTGGCTACAAGCGCTCGCGCTGACAATGGTACATGAGAGACCAAGGTGATGCTACTTGGGTTGACTTTGTGGATGCCTTGCAAACGTAGCCCTATCTCCATGATCGTACGGACAGGGTGTACTAGATAGACAGGATGTATGTACGTAGTTCTAGCTAGAAAGGGATAAGCCGAGAGATACATCTGCATTTATGTTGTGCGTGTACTCCATGTTTCTATATAGATATATTAATATTATATATGCGCGGGATACATTGCTTTGCTTATAATTTTCTTAAGGAAGTGGGAACTTTATTTATCATTTTTCTCTCGGTCACGAAAAAGGTTTACGCGTCTTTATATTAAGATAGAGAAAAAATTTAATACAACACGTCTTATGGGCGGCTCTAGGTAGTAAAGAGATGTGGAACTTTATTTATTATAAGATCGTGTTAATGGATACAACAAAATCAAATAAGGTGAGTGTGCGTGCTAGCCGCCTAGCATTGCATGAGAGTGTGTCAGCGTCTGTTTTGAGAAGACAAGGGAGGAGAGATGCGAAAGACTAAAAAGCCAAGCATATACTCAAAGTCTCGGTTCAACGACGAAGTTGAGCTGCTTTGGCAAGTTTTGTATGCCTCTCGGTTATTGTTCCTTCTTAATAACTAGTTTCATGCTTAAATCATACTCACCCCCATCCTAAAAAGAAAAATATAAGTGTCGGTTTTTAAGAAGACAATTGATTTTAAGTTTGACTAGGTTTACAAAAAAATATATATATTTTTTTTTTCAAATCAGTTTACTATAATGATATATTGCATGGTTAATCTCATAATACTTATTCAGTATCGTAAATGGATCTTTTTAATAAATTTCATCAAATTTAAAATTGGTTGACTTTTTGAAAGTGAGATGATTAATAAAAAGATTGGTCAGATCTTTTATCGTATAACCATATTTATATGGATGCATTGCCACTAATGACAACAATAACTAGTACACTGGCAAATTCTATCTCTACAATAAGATATAGTATATACTACGTATACATTGATACCTATACAGATCGAGATCGAGGGTATATATAGTTTTAGGTAGCAAGTATATAATGCATTTATTTATATATCTACATATACATAGCCCATGCATTTTGATACAGAGATTAGGTGGACCATACTCACCACATCTCTAACCAGCCTAATATTCTTGGCTTGCCAATGGTGCATTGCGTGTCCTTTCTTGACAAATACTACTACCTCCTCCAATCCTAAAACTAACTCCATTTGTCTTGTTTAATTCAAAAACTATTTTAATTTTTGACCATGAATGACTAAAAGGTTATATAGATAGATATAGCATAATGTGGATGTTAATTGATTCATCTTCCTACTATCTCAGAGATTTTATATTGGTCAATTTGTCATATTGAAGACCGTGTCAACCTCTTAATGGATTTATATTTGGGATCCAAGAGAATACATATCTACTGAGATACAGCATCGTTTTCCCCAATCATTGTTCTGAATAGGTAGGCTCCGTTCTCTTATTTGATACCATATAACCCTTCCCCCTCTCGCATTTGCTTGGATCTTAATAATGTCAGTACACATAGGTGACAGTACATATATGAAGTACGTACGTGGAGTTCCCTAGAATTTCATGTGATTCAGTAGACAGAATACAAATGGATTATCAATAAACTATTTTTGGTATATGAATATTCCTTTTTCACTTATACATTCTTCATTCATTATGGAAAAACAATATGTCTTAGTTTATTGTTAAAATTATTTATTAAAATAATATCAATTCTTTAATTTATTAATCATATAAATCACAATAGTTATTAAAATAATATACTACTTCACGACGTGGGTGGTGCAGCTATGTCTCTCAATTCTAAAATATGTCGTGAAAAACCGACTCTAATTAATCTTGTGTCTTTCAATTCTAAGCAATATAATACCCTGCTACATGCCTACATGCATCCCCCCCCCACCCCACTATACCAGGATAACTCCAGTGAATAATTATATGTTTCCATGGATCCTATTAGTAATATATATAAGTGATCGAATCCAAAGTCAAATACCTCTACAAATGGATTTTTAGAGTTAGCTGACATTACCAGTGGCCTCTTAAAATCCCACCATTTTTCATAGATGGCTGGTAACGCCAACCACCTCTACATTTGTAGATGCGGCTAGCTTTGCTAAGTACTATAGAGGCGGCTTCTGGTTGAACCGCCTCTGCCCAAAATTCCCCCATTGTTGGAAATTGATTCTGCAGTAGTGCTTTGCTTTGCAAATCTAATGCAAGGCCGGCTGGAGGAACTATATATACTAGACCTCTCTGTCATTGCCCTGCTCGCCAAACCCCAGGCGGCGAGGAGGGCAGCAGAGGAGGAAGCCGGCGAGCCAAAAATGACATCGGCGAAGATATACGTGTCCCCCGGGTCGGCGACGAGGCAGGTGCAGTTGGAGGCGACTTCCATCTAGGGTGTTGTTTTGTTCAGGTCTTTTGGCCCGTTTTCAGTTAATGGTGTTAATAGCTTTTGCTTTGCGTTTGGTTGTGTTTTTTCTCGATCGTGCCTTGGCATATTTTTTCATTAAGCAGAAGTAGAGTTTGTTACATCCTAAGCTGGTCACAGTAATCCTAAGATTACCGAGACCAGCGACCGAAGAGCACGCATGGTTGTGATTTACACAGAAGTACTTTGTGACACGAAGACAACAAACGGCCTTGCTAGGCAATCAGAGCACCAACATGAGCCACCGCCTCCGCCTGAAGCCCGCCATGTACCAGTTGTCTCGGCCCCTTCCTTGATTGAGTTGGCCAGCTGCGACGGCACAGCATACAAGAGTCGCCCGCTCTTGGGCAACGAACTCCCAAACGACAATGCGACGCGCACGAGCATTGGAGCCTCCCCGTTCCTCCCGAAACATGTAATTGACGCCATTGGGAAAACCAATTTTGAGACAAATCAGCTGAGCACAAGGCTTATATAGCCTCGTTGTCAAGCCCGGTCAAGTTAAGGTTCGCGTTTGGTTGTGTTGTTCTACAAATTTTTTTTCGAATGCTGTGTTGGTCTACAATTGATCACACTGTAAACGGATATCGACCTATACAATCTCATTACCACTCCTCACCAAACGTTATCTCTCGGCGAACACATCCTGACTATTCACGGACACTAAGGAATTCATCATCGTGGGGTACTTCCCGTAGGAGCTTGGTCCACCACCGCTGAGGCGCGGCTCGGTCACAGTGGGGAGAGGTCTGAGTAAGGGAGGAGAAAGGACAAGATGGAAGTTGTGTGGATGAGAATGTGACATCCAATTTTTCTAATAGGACCCACTGTACATGCTACCCTAGAAGGCTAAAATTGTATTCTTTGTGGGACAAAGCTATATAGCTACAGTTGCATGTTACTTGGAGATGTTAAAGCTCTTTACCAAATACTTGTTGAGTATATGTAACAAAAAAATACTAATATTTTTTATAGTAACCTGGTGCTGTTGCTGCTTAATTTGCTGGTGCCACATCCATATCTCCGGCCTGATCAGTGATCCTACTAGTAGCGGAGGATATAATTCTAGCTAGCGAGGATATGAGATGCACTTATATATGAAGTATATATATATAAATGCCATGCATGCATTGATCGGTATAGATATTTAAGATTATTATTATTATTATTATTATTATTATTATTATTATTATTATTATTATTATTATTATTATTATTATTATATACTCCCTTTATTCTAAATTGTAAGTAGTTCTGTCTAATTTAGATGCATAACATTATTAATATGTTTCTAGACATAATGTATATCTAAGTGCATAGCAAGAGCTACGTACTTTAAAAAAAAAGATAGACCTGACTTACAATTCTGGATAAGAGTCTCTAGGTGAATTATCAATTTACCATTAATTGTTTTTCACCTCGTTAAACGTATGTCACGAATAAATTAGATTTATCGCAAGAGATTATCAAAGTTGGGTTTGGTTCCATTGTCGACTTGTCAGACTTATACGGAGTTCACAACTAGAAACTGAATTTCTCTGGATGCTAAACAATTTTTCGGACGGTACCACAGGTTCTGGAGATACTAATAGTAACCTTGTAGTGGAAATGACTAGCCCGCCCGGCAACGGAGATCAGAGGGTGTCTAAGCGGAAAGGTGCAGTGGCGAGGCCTTTCTAGCTTTGAGGGATGGAGGAGGATAATTGGTGGATGCCATGAGTACTCTGTACCGAACGATGAGACAGACGGTCAGGATTGAACTGGGAACTTCTCCCCAAACTCGCTTCCCTCTCCCTATCTCCAGCCGAATCCTGTTATTATTCCTCTTCTCCGATTCAACACTGTTTCTGTGTGGATTGTTGAGAAGTAAGGGTTTGTCGTGAAACAACAGCGAACAACCCATTCACGGGCGTCGCAATTGTACTTCGGGAATGGAGGAAAGGAAGCCACGAGTGTTGGCTGGCGAGATCTCCACGACGATGAGGCCGAACCTGCAGCCGCAGGCCACGCAAGCGACGAGTTGTCCCGCCATCAGAGCGGCGTACCCGTTGGCGGCGACGGAGCCAGCAAGGAAAAAGGCCGCAACGAGGGAGTCGCTGGTGGGACCACCGATGAACCAGGAGGAGAATCGCAACGAACGAGATAACCAAGATGGTCGTCCAGGATCACAGTTGAAAGGGAATTTAAGACCATGTACAGCCAAACAAGAAATGTGATTTGAAACAAATTTGGGTGTTGAATCCAATTGCTAGAATCTGATCGCTAGAATGGGATTCAATTCTACGGATCCTAAGAGGAATTGGAATCGTAACAGTGAACACCATACCGTCAGCAACAAATCAAGAAACATAATCAAGAGGACTCTTGATTTAATTAACTCGAGAGCGCTCACAATTTGGAAGGGACGGCATGTTAGAATGGAAAATAGCCGAAAAAGAGAAATAAATAACTAATTGATTCAAGAGACATCCAACTCAAGCGACCTCTTCTCCGACAAACATTCCATAGCATGGAAGGAATCATCTCCAGTACAATTTTGAAATGAGAAGACAAATTTACATTACGATGATATATGGAAGAATAAAGCTTGACACAAAACATAATGAAAAAAAAAGGAAAAAAGATGAAAATAAGACGAGAGTCACTCCAAGCAAATACTGAAATGGTTACATTAAAAGATGATGGCCCCTCCCTGACTAAAGAATGCTTACCACCATATCGAATTTCCAAACCAGAGCCGTAAGACGCGCTCAATACACAAGTATATCCAGCCGGTGCAAATTCCTCACCTTGTTTTCCAAGACGAAATGGTATGGTAGCACATCAGTTTGTAAGACTGTTCTGTCATTCACTGAGTGCTGCCATCAGCAATGTTGGTACTCCGGCAGTAGGACAAGGAAGATCCATCTGTCTGCTCACTGCTGTCTTGACATTCATGCAGAAGTCGTAGCTTTGATAAAAGCTTCGTAATGTTACATGACAAAAAATAAGTCCAATGGTACCGAGTCGAAGTAGTTGCAATCAAGACAAGCATGCAAGCTGATTAGTCTACTACCACTGCACAATGAGATGCACATCACTTTCACCAAGGAGCATCTCTTCTAACCAAAATACTGAATGGTGATACTTGAACAGCTAAAGCCCCAGGGAACATGGAAGATGATAACAGTAACATATGCAGTTATGCAACCGAGATGTCCACTGTCAACTTAAGACCTAACTATTGCTACCAGGGAAAGAGTTATAAGTATTTCAGTACAGCGCCTCACTAAGTTGCTAACATCCCTAAGAAAACTGTTTTGGAAGGAAAGAAAGGTTGCCATCGCCAACCATTCAGAAAGAACACCTGTAAAATACCAAACCAACCATAAATTGAAAACAGCGACCAGAACGCAACCTTAACAAAACCAAGACAAAATGATGACATTTGTGATACTTCATAACAGATGAGTGATATTCTATGACACAGATAACTAAAAGACATTCATATAACAGATGGTAATTTACCCAGAGTACTAGTAACAAAGACAAGTAACCAAGTTCAGCAAGGAAAGGCAAGATGGATGTTCTTGACCAAACCACATGACAAATTGATGTTCTTGACCATTATCCGTAGTGATTAGGGAAGGCAAGACTCCATTGCCAACTCCAAGGCCCCGACTCAACTAAGATCTCAAGGGGAAGAAACTTGTAACGACAGCAGCGACTACTGACACAGATGTACCCCACATTCAGACTGAACCTTGACGACGACGCTGGACCTTCTTGACCCTCATTACGGTTCTAGGACTCACTGTAACAGTAAGGACATGATATATCAAGCTATGCGCAAGCAAACATGAGGGCAAGAAAATGATTAAAAATAGTATTAATATATAATAAGGCATGCAACTTAATGTTCTAAATAAAGGTGTAGCAAATGTTGAAGACCATACTGAAGGTTCTGAAACACAGACCTGATTGTCCTGATCTGTCACTGAATCATTTACATTGTTTGTCTGTGATGGCTTTTCTGCTCCACATTGAGGACGATTGCACTTTGTTCGGAAAGGATAGTTTATGTTATTGCACTGCTCACACTTCCAACTGCCCTCTGGCATCTTTGGTTCTATCAATGAGAGGTTGGGGTGTGAATTTGAAAAGAATTGATGGAACAATAAATTACATAGACCATTAGATAAACTAGCCCATAAGTTATGTGCGAAAATCCAAAGAAAACAAACTAATTCCTTCAAAGAAATGTCTAGTGATAACAAATATTACCAAAATTTACTAATTTAAAGGTATTTGTTATACACAAAAAAAAAATGGTGAGGAAAGAGCACTAAGCACTTATGATGTGGAAACTTACTTGAGCCTCTTAAACCATCGGACTTAGATCCCTGCACAAAGAGTTGATGAACAAGCATTTAGTAAGTAAAGTGGGATTAATTGATGAACAAGCAATCTCCATAAACTACATATAGAAGCCCAAGAATTAGAAATGAAGATCCAGGTTTAGATGAAAGAGTAATTTTAGACAAAATATAGCCAAAACTTGTTTGCTTTTAGTTCACAAAATTATTCTGGTTTAGATTGATAATACAACAGAGGGAGAAATTTGTATTGTTTTTTTTTTCTAGAGTAACAAAACCTAGAAAAATTTAGTAAATCCCAGGACCAAAGAGAAGGTGATCAACACGTACTCAGAGCCTGATGTCCAATAAATGAAAAGGCATGCAAGTGGAACGATGGGCTATGGCAGGGCAAACTAGAGGATATATCTGTGCATAAGCATGGTTCCACCAAACAGTTTACAACAATAGTATACAATGAAACCATGTAGGCTCCAAGCACACAAGTAATCTTGTGGCAGCAAAGTCAACTTCAAGCACAATTGCAAAGTTATACTAGTACAGTTCAACTAAAGTAAAGAAACATTGACTAACACAATTACAATATTTTTTAAGTGAGCTTAGTTTAAATACATGAAAGAAGTAATATCAGATCGTTTATAATAGCAAGATAAGACAGAAATCTCAAACCTGGTTTTCAGGTCTAGGTGTGTTGCACTTTCTCATATTACAGACTGTGCGAAAGCCAAAGTTGATGTTGTGGCAATTTGGACACTCCCAATCATTATCACGGCCAGCTCCTGCATCAAAAGTTCAGGAGAATAGGCAAAGAATTAATCAAGTGCTAACCATATTAATATAAATAAGTCAAAATACAAATTCAATAAGATATACCTGCAGGCTTCTTCTGAGAACCTTCATCAGAATATGAGCCAGCCCTTGTGCCCTTTCAAGTTCAAGAAATATAAATAAATTTAAGGAATCATAACAGTTATTCCCATGCAGACACAATCACAAATCATAAATATCAAACAAAAACTGAATTAAAGTAGCAGAAACAAACGTGTTGAAAGTTCTTTATGTAAGGCAACAGTAGTTAAATTAGCATGAGGTTATAGGTATACAAAAGAATAATCACAATAGCACATACCATTGGACCAGGACCAGCAGGTACTGGCCCATACCTATCCATGGGCATTCCATACATTCCACCTGTTTATTGGACAATAAGCAAGATAAATCTTGTGAGCAAACATGTAGAAAACATTAGACTGAAAAACATGTATCAAGTGTCATAACCCCAACCAAACAAAGTGGCTTAGAAAACAAGTGGCGGAACACAATAGTACTGCAAACGGTATTATTTATTGCAAGCATTTGTGGAAATGAAGATCGAGTGATAAGAAATTAGATTTTTCATATTCTGTAAAACTAATTATTTAACACATTATGATTTGCATACAAGGAATTATTGGAAGCATCAGGTTTGCCTATTTAATTTGATAGCTAGGTTAATTAATGCAAGGGCAATATCAAAATATGGCAGCCTGTTACCTGCTCCCATCATAGATCCACCAGAGTATGGAGTTGGCCCGGCCATTTGCATTGGCCCGTAGGGGCTCCCCATTGGTATGCGACCACCATATCCATATGGATACGCAGAACCCCCAGGGAACTGTGGGATACCATAGCGCGGCATTGCAGGCCCGTTAAACATTGAGGAGCCATATGGGGGAGCGCCCCCACCAAGGTACATCGACGGTGGCGTCCCTGGGCCCATGTAACCCCCTGACGTGGGATAGTGAGGTGGGGTCTGCATAGGCTTCTGCATGGCCTTCTGAACGACAAGCAACAGCAGCACGAGGTAAATGCAAACAGGCAAGCGACAAGCGGAAGTGGAAGTACCCACAGGCACGCTCCGCGCAAGCGACGGGCGAACAATGATTAGCAAGAATAAAGCGAGGCAAAACCGTTTATGTACCGTGTGGTCTGCTGGCCTGGACTGGTTGCAGTTGCGCATGTTGCAAGTGGTGCGGAAGGCGAAGTTGACGTTCTTGCAGCTGGGGCAAACCCAGTCGTCCTCACGCCGGCTGCCTGAGAACACGGTTTATTGTCCCCAACCAGGGGGGAATCCACTCAGATGCAGCTTATAGATACGGAGGGTGCGACAGGAAATAACGAGGCGGCGGAGCAAGAGCGACCTACCGTCGGTGCGCGCGCGCTTCCCGGCGGATTGGCTGCGGCTGTCGACCTGCAAACCCACACACTAATTCGTGAGACCACGCCGGATGGGCGGGATCCAGAGAGGGATCGACGAGCACAGCGCGGGGAGCTCAAATAACAAAGCTTTGGAAAGCAGCTATCGAAGTGCCTGAACCGTGACTCGGGGCTCTCGATGGGTTTCAACTCTTTGCTTGGGACTGAAAAGCTGTGTTGTCGTTGTTGTTGTTAACAAGCTTCCAGCGCGACTGATGGGCGGCGACACTGACTCAAACCCTAATCAACCGGCGGAATCGAGGAGGTGGGGGTGGTACCTGAGAAGACATAGCTGGCGGTGAACCGGTGATGGCGGCGGCGGGCGAACGGCGCGGGGAGAAGCACGTTCTCCTTGCAGCGGGAGGGACAAGCGCAGACGCCGCCGCGGTGACGGGCGGCGGACGGAGGGGGAATTCGGCGAAGCAGTAGCTAGGGTTTTGCAATTGCAGTTATGAATTCGGCTTCGAACTCAGGTGCACATCAGATTAGCTTTGCCTCCGCCGTCCGCGTCGGCCGATGTACCTGACGCTGACGGGGGACACGGGACGAGAACTCGGACCACAAGGCGGGCCCAGATGAGAGCTTTAGGCCCAGATCAGATACGTGGGCCCTTCTAATCTCGCGGGCAAAGATGTTCTAGCCCATTACAAATTCTGTTAAGTTTTTTTTTGGAAAAAAATTATTTCACCTCTAAACTACTGTCATAGTCTGATTTTTCTTCTCATACTCAACTCTCAGAACCACTCAAATTTTCTTCTTATTTTGGTTTCAAGAGGTTTAGGAGGCTTTGTCTTCTTTTTTTTTTCTCAATCATGCAAAAGGTTTACACGTCTTTGTATTAAGATATAAATAGTTTGATTACAAGATGCTTAATTGGTGTCCGGGTGACCGGGCTTTACAACTAAGCTTAAGCCCGCCCAAAGCTGAAAAAACGTCTATTGTATTACTCCGGCTAACAAACAACCTAGACTCCTTGCGTCGGCCTGTACCCAGAGATCAGCTTTATTAAAAATTTGATTTTAAACCACATAAAATGTCTCCAGACTCCAAAGCTTGTTGCATGGTTGCATCTTATGTTTTCTTTGTGGTGGAACATTTTCAAAACATGTGCCTGTTGCATTGTTGCATTGTTGCATCTTATGCTCCTATCATTCTTTGTTACTGGAACATAGCTTGATTGATCGAAAATTGTTTTTGTGTTATACATTAATTGTTTATCTATAGAAAACAATTATATATGTTAATTGAATTTTGCCAACATAGATCAAATTTTTCAGATTTGTGGTTTTCTCTGGGTTTTTTTTTATTCTCGAGATAGAGCAAAAATTGCGATAAACTAAAGTCTGCAATTTTAACATAAAACATTTTGTGAGATATTAAATTGTAGTAGACATTAATTAGATGTGAATTTTCTAGGTTTTTCATATTGCTAAATCTAACTTTTGTGAGCACTGTGTGTTTTATTGGTAGCACTGTGTGTTTAAGAGGTGTTAGTGACCAAGAGAGTGAGCACAACACTTTGCGTTCTCGCTCGCTCGCCTCACTTCACATTCACAAGATGCCAACCTTTGATGAAAGGAGAGCTACTGCATCTTTCCTGGTCTTCACTTGCTTTTTCTGCATCACACGCAGGGGCAGCTACGAGCCATGGACCTCGCTCGCCGCCCCTGTGAACTGTCACGGGCCTTCCCTCCGGCGCCTCTCCTTTCCCCTCCCGGCTCCCGTCTCCTCAGGCACACTTGAACGGCATGGACGATGGCACCACTCTGCTCATCTATCGCCACATGTTCGACTATATATCCCATACCTGCGGCTCGACAGCTTCGTTCTCATCAACTGTCTCGAAGCATCTAGTCTAGTAGTACGGTGGCGCAATGGTCTCTGAGGACGAGGAGCAGGGCTCGTCGCCGGAGTCGGACTCCCCGCCACCGCCTCCGTCGCCGTCGCCATCGCAGCGGCCGCTGCTGCTGAACCCGGCGTACGCGCAGTGCAAGTCGGTGATCCACGACGAGCTGCGCAGCTTCCGCGTGTTCCTGCAGTGGTGCGCGCTGGACCACAGCACCCGCGCAGGGCGCGCCGCCTCGTACGCGGCGTTCGTGGCGCTGGCGCTCCTGGTGCCCGCCGCGGTGTCGCTGTCGCTCCGCGCCGACGCCGCGCTGTCCCGGGACTCCGCGTCCGCCATCACCTTCAACCGCGTGGCGCAGGCCCCCGCCACGGGGCTCGCCGTCATCTCCTTCGCCACGCTGGCCGCCTTCTTCCGCCGCCTCGGCGGCCTGCGGAAGCTGCTGTTCCTCGACGGCGCGCTCCGCGACGACACCGCCTTCGTCCGGCGCGGGTACGCGCGGGAGCTGGACCGCGCGTTCCGCACCCTGGCCGCGCTCCTGCTCCCGTCGCTCTGCGTGGAGGCCGCGCACAAGGCCGTCTTCTTCTTCTGCACCGTCAGGGTGGAGCCGCCAGCGGCGGTGTTTCCCTTCGCCACGCCGCTGCTGCTGCCGTGGCGCGCGGTGGCGCTGGTCGCCACGGTGGCGTCGTGGGTGTACCGGACAGGGGTGTTCCTGCTGGTGTGCGTGCTGTTCTGCCTCACCTGCGAGCTCCAGATCCTGCGCTTCGAGGGCATCTACGGCATGTTCGACGTGGAGTCGCGCCCCGCCGCCGCCGAGATCTTCGCGGAGCACCGCCGCATCCGCACGCAGCTGCTAGCCACCAGCCACCGGTACAGGGTGTTCATCATCTGCTGCCTCGTCACCATCACCGTCAGCCAGCTCGGCGCGCTCCTCGTCGCCCTCTCGTCCAGGGACGCCAAGAGCTTCTCCAACACCGGCGACCTCCTGGTACGCACGCACGGCACACCACACCACACCACACGACGGCGAAGGCCTCATCACTCTAAGACTGTCCCCTGAGACTACTAGGACTCGCGCTCGTGCGTTGAGTTGTTGCGTGCAGGTCGGCTCGGCGGTGCAGCTGAGCGGCTTCTTCATGTGCCTGCTGGGCGCGGCCAGGATCACGCACAGGGCGCAGAGGATGGTGTCCATCGCCAGCCAGTGGCACATGAGCATGGAGTCGTCCATGCACCATGGCAAATCGTCCTCGCCGGCCACAACGTCGGCCAGCGACGACGTCGACGCGTCGTCCCACGTCTCCGGCTCGTCGACGACGGCCGTCTCCCAGGCGGAGGCCGGAGCGCCGTGCTCGTACAGGAGCAGACAAGCACTCGGTACGCATGCAACTTTACTGAGTTTTTTTTCCCTGCCACGGAGTCACAGAGTGGGACTGAGAGGCTGGCTTTTGCTGTGTGCTGCATGCAGTGACGTACCTACGACACAACGGCGGCGGGATCACCCTGTTCGGCTTCACGCTGGACAGGGGCCTCCTCCACACCATCTTCGTCTTCGAGATGACTCTGGTGCTCTGGATCCTCAGCAAAGTCGTGGTCCTCTAGCATGTCATGTGTATATATACGTGCCAGACTGTCGCATAGCAATGCTGCTACGATTTTCGCTCGCAACTATACCTATATTGCCTATTTTGGTGCAAGCATAAATTCAGTCAAGACACAAGACTGCTTTGATTTACGAGTGATTATTCTCTCTTTTCTTTCTGAGAAACAGAGAACTTCTATTGATCAATCACAAGGTGATACTGTCCTAGAGAACAAAATGCTGGATCAACACAAAAGGGGGACATTTTAATGAGGAGCATGGCCAGGCAATTTGCAAATCTGTACAAATGTTCATCAGTCATCACATTATGGGACCCATGCTGTCTCTGAATATTACTGCTTAATAATGCATTCACACCATTGTATTCAGCCTTCTCATGAACTGAATAAACAAAACAAAACAAACCACACCACACCATTCCTCATGTTGTTTGTTGCACTCCTAATCCGATTGCACCTTAGGATTTCAAAATGCTAATGATCAATCGGTTGATTTCCGGTTGCCGTTTTTGGGGCCGTGCGATGCGGAAGCGATGCCCACCACCTGTCTTCCACCTCGTCCTCGGCACCTCCCCCATCACTGTCCTGTGACTCACCACCTGCTGCAGCTGCACCACCTCAGCGTCAAGCAAGCATTCATGCTAGTGCGTGTGTCCCTGCCTGACACACGAACGCGAGCACGGAACACCTTGCGACCACTCGGGTCACGTGCCAGTTGCACGCCGAGACGGCAGCCATCCTCAGGTTCCATGTCCGGTCCCCTTCGCGTCAATCTCTCCTCTCTCTGATGTATTTTTTTTAATTTTCTGAAGAATTTTGAATAATTTAACATATATTTCTCTGATGTCTGGAATCTATAGAAATAATTTATAAATATTTTTAAAAAAATTGGCATATATTTGTGTTATTTTCAAATTACACCACTCTGTTCAATAAATTACACAGAATAAATCATTATAAATATAGTAATAAGACGGTGTAAATATAGCTATAAGACAGTGTAAGTACATAAGAAAATTTTGTTTGATAAGAGGGGCTAAAACAACCCGTTGTTGATTAGACATCTCTCAAGATTTTGAACGGCTGCTAAGGCAGCCAGACAGGTGCAGCAATAGTGGCTGATCTAAAAAAAAAAGTCAGGAGAGGCTTATCTCATAATCTTTCTTCCCTAACCTCTTCTTCCAAACTTAAATAGGTGCAAATTTGTAGGAAGAACTTAGGAGGGGCTCCATGGTCCGAGCAGCGGTAGCGGGGCTCGAGCTATAGATGTACATGCAGCCCATAGCCCGTTGGCACGGCACGAAGCCCGCAATTTTAGCCCGGCACAAGCACGACACTGCACGGTGTTTTATGGGTCCGAGCCGGCCCGGCCCGACACATAGGGTCGTGCCTGGGCCGCTACTCAGGCACGCTGGGCGGCCCGGCTCGGCCCGACATTTACAAGGAGACACGATGTCGGCCCGGTGGCCACCAAGGCCTGCTAAGATCCCACCTTTCCTCTCCCAGCCAACCCTAACTTCAATTCACACCGCCCCCGCCCTTCGAGACCGCCAGACTCCTCTCGACTCTATCGCTCATGGTCGCGACTTCATGAGTCGTGAGTCGCACGACTCCTGGTCTCTCTCGAAGGCCATGAGTCCACCGCCCCCCGCACCACCGTCCAGGCGTTCCACCAGCAACATCCTCCGTGCCACCCGCACCACCGGCCTCTCCCCCACGTCCCTCGCACAGCTACATCGCACCGCACGTGGCGGCTTTCCAGCTAGGCGGCGTCGAGCACACCGGCGTCAAGAGGCTCCTCCAGGCCTCCTCCAGATCTGGATCCAGCTCGAGGACATCGGCCTCCTACGGATCCAGCTCGAGCAGCTCCTCCTGCCTCCTCAAGATCCCGTCCTCTCCTTCCCTCTCAGCCTCTCTCTCTCATGGGTCGTGCTTTCCAGGCTGGCCTGGCCCGACAAACGGCCCATAGTGCCATGCCTGGGCCGAAGGCCAGGCACGTGGCCCGGAGAGGCACGACGCGTCGGCGGCCCAACCCCTTGCGGGCCGTGCCTGGCCCGGGCCCATGCAGGGCTGAGCCGACTCGCCCGTTGGCCATCTATAGCTCGAGCCCACCCCGCGCCGGTGTTGGATCCGCCCCTGGGCAGCAACCTGCACACTCAAGAGTTGGCCTTAGGACCTTGTTGCTACTTTCGCCATGTGTAGCAGTAGGCCTAGTGAGGAGACAAACAACGGTAACAGTACAAGCACAAAGCATATAAGTCAACTGAAACAGATCAAGGAGGGTGCGATATTCAGTTTCGAAATTTTCCAAAGGTAAAACAAATTTTGTATGAATTTTCTAAGATTAAACCAGATTTTATGATTTTTAATTGCATTATTTTCCGTGTGAAAATATTTAGATAAATTTTGGAATTTTATTTTTATGAATGTTTAGATATTTTTAAAAATATTTCTAGTCTAATTTAGCACCCCTATACTTTCAACTTAGTTTGATTTACTCCTCTGACGTGGCACCACATTAACAAAAATACCCAAAATGCAAAAAAAAAAGGTTTTATTTTATTATTTAGTGAGAAAAGCCAGATGACCGCGATAATCGAGAGAAATAATTTGGACATTTCAAAAAAAACGATAATGCTCCAGTTAAGACGTCCGAAACGGACGGACGCCTCACTCGCTCACTCCCACACCTAGTCCCTCGCTTCCTTCTCCCTTCCACGCTCGCGCCCAGTGCCTACCCCGACGCACGGCGGCAGCGCGCTCCCCCACTCCGGCATCATCCTCCTCCCCCACCCTAGCGGCAACCTCCCCCACCCCAGCGACGCCCCTCCCCCCACCCCGGCACCCTCACCCACCAGGAGCATCCAACGTCGCAGATCCGGTGGCCCTCTCTCCTACCCCGACGAGGTCCAAGGAAGCCGCTGACCCTCCCCTACACCGACCGGTGGTGCCCTCCACAGATCCGGCAACATCTCCTCTCCCTCGACCGGCGGCGGGCATGGCGAGCGTGCGGGCGCGCACCATCCAGCGAGCCTGCGCTACCGCAGTTGTCCACCAGGTAGGTAATGCCCGCGCGGCGATGCTGTGTTTCAAGTGTTTCTGGACACTTTTTTAGACATGTTGCAAGAACATGTATCAAGTGTTTCAGTTGTTTCAGATATATGTTTCAATTGTTTCATGCGGATGTTACAAAAGTAGACCAGGATGTTGCATATGTCGTAATGGTTGTACACGTATGTTGCAAGCGTCTATCACTAATGTTTCATCTGTTTTTTATACATGTATGTTGCAAGTCTTTCAGACGCAGGTCTCAAGTGTTTCATCTATCTTCTTTTGTATATTGCAAGTATTGTGTCTGAATGTTTCAAAAGTAGATTGGGATGTTGCACATGTTGCAATGGTGTTTCAGTTGTATGTTTCAAATATTTCATCTGTGTGTTAGACGTACGTTGCAAATGTTTTATCTGAATGTTGCAAAAGTAGATCGGGATATTATAGACGCGGCCGGTGGCTGTCACTACTGCTGGGGCATAGCTGTGGGTCAACCCATGGGTTTTTCTGTGAGGAGCGCGGGGTGGGCGCGGGGGTGTGGGTCCCTGCGACGGACGCGGGTGCAGGTGCTGGGGCGGGATGCGGGACGCGGGGCGTGAGGCGAGATGCGGACGCAGGAGCAGCGCAGGTGTCCAGACGCGACGTCCGGTCCGACCACCCGGCGCTAGGCGTTCGGGAAAAAAAATGAAGCGTGTAACTGAAGGGAGGTCTAGCCTAGACCGGGCGCGTCTGCACCGTGGGCCTTTTTCGGCCCATTCCGTCCTACTGCCTCGTTTCCTCCGGTGCGTTCGCTTCTGCCACATTCTGCTAATCGTCGGCGTGGTCGGGCGGCGTCCGTGGCTCCGTGGCGGCCGTCGGCGTGGAGGACGTGGTGAAGGAAATGGTGAACCATGCTCGCATCAACAAGCACTAACGTAGCCGAGCAAAACTGAGCAAGGAGGCGGGCGGGCAGACCCTGGCACCCTGCTGCCGGCAAGAGAAGAGAGCATCCGAATACCGTGCATGCCCGATCGACCACCGTAGCTCAGAGAAGAGCCGTTGAAACGACGACAACCTCGTCAGTTGTCAGAGAGCCGCGCAATGCGGGCATAGCTATTCTTGGCCAAAACCAGCAGCCGCACCCCCAAATCCCCCCATGGCCGGCCCATGCCATGCGGACGCCTCTCATCTATCGCCACCGTCCTCGCCGCACGCGCGTGGGTGCGTGCGTGCGCGCGGGGAGCTCCTGAATCCTCTCTCCTCCCCCTTCTCCGCCTCCCTTTCTCTCTCTTCGCGTCGACCTCCCGCTCTCCTCCCTCCCTGGAAAAAAACAGCGTGCCGGCCAGCCTTCCCCCACTCGCGCGCGCCCGGGAACAGGGGCCGCCCGCAGCATTGCCGCCGGCCAATTCACCCGCCGTCGTCAAGCGCTGGCGCCGGCGGGCTGGCTCCCTGGCACCGGCGCCGCGGCCGCCTTCCCGGACATGGCCGGAGTGCCGTCGTCGCTGCTAGCGCGCCTCCTCTTCCTCCTCCTGCTCCTGCTGGTCGCTGACGCCGCGCGGCTCCCGCTGTCCCTCGCTCCCGGCGACGACGACGCCGCCGCCGACGCGCTCCTCAAGCTCAAGGCCGGCATCAAGGACGACAGCGGCGGGCTCGGTTCCTGGTCCCCCGGCACGAGCCCCTGCAGCGATGGCGACGGCGGGTCCGGGCCCAGCTGGAAGGGTGTCATGTGCAACAGGAACGGCGTGCACGGCCTGCAGCTCGAGGGGATGGGCCTCTCAGGCACGCTCGACCTGCGCGCGCTCACGAGACTGCCGGGCCCCGGCCTCCGCACGCTCAGCTTCATGGACAACGAGTTCGCCGGCCCGTTGCCCGACGTCAAGGAGCTCAGCGGCCTCCGCGCTGTCTTTCTGTCCGGGAACAAGTTCTCCGGCGTGATCCCCGCCGACGCGTTCGCCGGGATGGGCTCGCTC